TAATACACCACGTTCAATCCACGTCGACGAGAACGACTCGTGATCAAAGCCGAGACGCAACTTCAAGAGGGAGCTCCCTCGCATAAGTCTTCCCCGGTTCCCGCACATTGTTCCCGCGGGCTGACAGATGAACCTGACGTGTCAGAGACCTGTCGTCGAGAGCTCGAAACACTGCCATTGTGGGAAACGAGCTCTTCCGCGTCTAGTTCGCTCTAATTCGGCGCGCCAGACTCCATAAACCTGATGTGGAATAATCTGTGTTCCGCGAGTACTTAGGTGCGCGGAACGGTAACGTGTGACAAGTTTGCGCGATTACTTTGTGAGATCTATTTTGCGGAGACGCAATGAATACCAACTCTCTCTCTCTCTCTCTCTATCTCTCTCCCCGTAGCTTTTGTTTACTATGCTAATGCGACTTCGCGAGACACTTGGCGCACGCGAGAGAATTTGCTCTTTGAATTAGCAAGAGTGCGTTTTCTCGCTCGTGAGTAAAAATTTTCGTCGAAAACTCATGTAATCGAACGACTTGGATTCGCAATAAAAAGCGCGAGCGCGCACGCACACACACATATATATATATATATATATATGTGTGCGTGTATATAAAGCGTAAATAAAACCGATAATACTCGATCGAAAGTATGAAATCCACGTAATCTTTAGCTAGAAGCTTGGCTCTCTCTCTCGAATACCAAAGTACTTTTCTTGCGACGTTAAATCCCCGCATTATACGTTCGTTGAATTCATTATCGTACCGACCCGTCTTCGGTGCATGTTTCTTTCCAAAGCGCCGCGGCGCTTCTCGAAAAGGAAGAGAGAAAGAGAGAGAGAGAGAAAGCAGGGCCGACGTCGAAGTGCATTCCGGATCAACTCGATCAAGTCGTAAATCAAAACGAGTCGAAGAACAACGTGAATTCGCGAATTTCCATTCTTCAAACTCGCGACAGTTCTATAAGTTTTGCAGCGCGGATAGATTTTTGTCATTACGCTGTTTACGTTACGATAAGTCGTATATATATATATATATATGAAGTTAAAAGTTACTTCCCGCGACTCCGTAGTTCCGACCCTGACGTCTCTCGAGAGATTTCACGATCTGCGGAATCTTCCGTTTGTTTTTCATGGATTGGTCCCTCTTTATTCGCGCATCGATCTTTTCTCTTTCCCCGACCAATAACAATCGCCGACACCGGAGTTTCGATCTACGGGATCGAACGGGTTTCGCTCGGCATCGCGGAGCGACAGTCTCTCTCTCTCTCTCTCTCTCGCGCGCGCGAATCCCGCGAGATCCACCCGTGGAAATAATACTCGGTTCGTTTCCGCCGCACCGAGCTCTCGGGGCTTCGCGCGTGCTGGATTTTTGAGTTTTCCCCGATGTTTTCGCGGATCCACTTCCTGCTTCTATTTGCACGGTCTTAAAGTTCATTGCTATCCCGCGCAATATACATACATACATACGTATACGTATAGATATATTTAAGAAATATTGTCCGCGCGAAGAAATTCGATAAAAACTTTGTAGATTGTTGCGCGACAGAGTTGTTGTGTGTGTTGATCGGGGCTTTAATAATCAACGGTTATCTCGGTAATAATCCATTACCAGTAAACTATCGGAGTGATGTCTATTCAGGTCAATGCGTACTGTAATATGCACGTGGCCACTGCGCAGCTCGGGGGAGTGTTAACATTTCAACGCAAGAGAGAGAGAGAGAGAGAGAGAGAGAGAGAGAGAGAGAGAGAGAGAGAG